TTTCAAAGTAAACTTAAAATTAGCGCATAAGTTGATGAAATCCATCGAAGGAAGTCCCTCTTCATTAGCTGTAGAATAATTAAGTGTAACAATAAAAAGAGGAAATAGGGAAGCAAATGCAAGATTAGTAAGATTATAATTTTGGGCATGCAGAGTTCATGCTAACATGCAAAATTCATATTAACATTTTCGGAGTAAAAGGGAAATAAAATTCGAGTCGACTTGATAAAAATGCGCAAATAAAATACAGTATGTTAGGGAAGGACTCAATTACTTACGATCAAAACCTGTAACATAAAAATGAAACATTTCATTACTTAATTAAAATAAGAATCTGAAATATCTGAACGAAAATAAGACAAACCAAATTATTAAAATAAAAACGTGAAACATACAAACATTTATTAAGACAGAAAATAAATTACTTACTTGAAATAAAAATCTGAAACAGACAAAACTGTTTAAGGCAAATATAAATCATTAAAACTTACTTACATAAAATAAAAACCTGAAACATACAAAAATAATTTAGACAAGCATGAAACATTAAAAATTACTTACTTAAAATAAAAATCTGAAACAAACAAAAGTGATTAAGGCAAATATAAATCATTAAAACTTACTTACATAAAATAAAAACCTGCAACATACAAAAATAATTTAGACAAATATAAAATATTAAAAATTACTTACATAAATTTAAACCTGAAACAGATGAATGCAGTTAAAGACAGAAAATTGTAAAACAAGGAATGAAATCAATCTTTATTCGAAACGCAACTTTGGAAAAATTGAAATCACCAAAAATACAGTAGATGGAATAAAATAACGAAGAGTCTTGAAAACTTTGAAGCAAGAAATAAAATAGAGAAGACTTGAAGACTTCCAAGCAAGAAATAAAATAGAGAAGACTAAAAAATTTCCAAGCAAGGAATAAAATAGAAAGTACTCTTGAAATCTTCAAAATAAAAAATAAAATCATTTCGAATCTGAAAAACTCTTAAGCTAAATAAGTCCTGCATCGTGTACTCACATTTTCACACACTCACGCATACTACAATATTAAAGCCCTAACTGTGCCTTTTGTTCTAACATTGCACTCGTATAATATAAAAGTTTGTAAAGAAAAGGGTTAAAGAAGAAAGTTGGAAGAACTTTCTTTTAAGTTTCGAGCAATTGACAATAAAAATGATTGGCTACTACTAAAATCTAATATGTAACAAGTTAAAAAATTGAGTTAAAGATGAGTGCAAGTTAGAACAAAAGGCACTTACAATGTGCGCAGGCTTTTCGCCACATATTGTGACGAAAAACCTGCGCCCGAGCCCACCCATCCTCCCACAAGCTCGGAATTAAAAAACTAATGCATTGAACAGAACTTACCAAAAATTACATTCTGCAACAGACAAAAGTAATTAAGACAAATATAAATTATTTCAATACTTACATAAAAAAAAGATCTGAAACAGATAAAAGTAATTAAGACAAAAATGAATGATTTCAATACTTATATAAAATAAAGATCTGAAACAGACAAAACTTATTAAGACAAATATAAATTATTTCATTACTTACTTAAAATTGAATTCTGAAACAGACAAAATTTTATTAACACAGAAAATG